TGATACATTTTATCTTATGTGTGTGCGAGTGTCGATTAATCGCGACTTCGTAAGTAATAGTTGTTCATCAATCAATCGACCTCAGCGCTGCAAGAAATAGCGTCGTATTGAAATTGTTGTGACAGCTCGTTGGATCTACAGCGTGCAAAATTAGATGTCCGCATCGAGGGATATCGATCATTTTCAGTTTCAAGCGATTGTTCTGAAGTTTTAGACACTTGTCCAACTGGACAAATCTCATTCGTCAAACTGGGATAAGTTTCTTCACGATTGCATATAATTAATGCGCGCTCCTTGTTATTTCAGAGCTTCACATTGAAATGATCTATTCTATTCTGTCGAAGTGTCTATCAACGAAGTCGGGTTAAACTTTGACTGCATTATGCTTACAACTTCGAATGTAAATCAATCTTTAACGTGCCATCGAATTCGATGACTTGGGGAATAATCTTGTGAGAAGTGCAAAATTCATCTTCACGAGGCATTTCTGATTTGACTTTTGACTGTCATGATATTTGTAAGGAATAATTATGTAAAATATGTAAAATATCAGATAAATTATAATAGGAGGTATCTTATTTTGACTGAGAAAATTCTACATTGATCAGATTGTATTTATTCATATAGATTCATATAAACTAGACAACTTTCATAACACTGATTATATATCATATTAATAAAAAAAGAAAGATTTTAATTTTTTTTCTATATATTATTATGTATTTTACGTGTATGTGAATCAGTTTACTTCGTTTCGCCATTTTGCTTTATTCACTATACTATCCATTAAAACGCGTAACTGCGAGATTTGAAATTGATAAAGAATCGGTCTTTGATATTTTGCATCGGCAAGATAAAGACTCATAATACCCAGCATTATATGATAATAGCCAGTATTTATGAGCCCCCGGTAATATGTATGTACAAAGTTGAAGGATATCGAGTTGAATATAATCTCTGATGGACTTTACTAAAGAATGAAATATTTTTTAAAATTGAAATCAGAGATGATCTCTGTAATTATATATCTACGTATATATGATGTATTTATTGAATAATTTAAGAGAATCCCATTCACATATCATTCTATATTCATTATTCTTAATCATCTCTAATTTTCCATTAATTAATCTTTAATCTATCAATTATCACGTGTCTATTACATGTAATTGAATAAGATAAGTATGGAAAGTATGGAAATATATGCAATTGAATCGTACTATGGAAGTATTAGTACGATTAATTACTTTTCTCTTGAATACAGATAAATGTTTTTTTTTGTTGTGCGTTGCAGCGAAATATTTATTTTCAACAAATTGAAATCAGATAAAATAAACTTGAATGCATATCGATAGAACGCAAATAAATAAAGTTGTCATTCTGTAAAATATTTTACTCAAATAATACCCATAAAATGTACAACAATGTCGTAAAGAACAATACGAAAGGTTTATATTTGCAATCTGAACATATTTTTTAAATAATCACGTTATATTTTTCTATATATTTAAAACTGAATATTTTTGATAACTAATTTTGTGGATAGGTCTAACGAACGATATACTTTAACGATATCAGAGAATTTAGAGCAGTACAAATTTATGTGTGCTATATATAATAGAAATCATTTGAATAATCTAATGGCTTTAGGTCACGATTCTATCAGTGAATTAATATCAGTTTACTAGGATTCGGAAATTGTTTTCGTCAATTAGATATGGCAAAATCAAAGGTCAAGGTTACGGAGTTTCATGAGCTTCACGCGAATGCACAAGCAGTTTAAACGCCTGCGTGCGTAATTAAGCTCTGGGTCATATCGAGGTTTTGCTTCAACAAAAGGTTGCTCCTCGGCAACCTCTTCGCAAGATAGTCGTCACTCTTCAGTGGCTTCCACCGGAACCACTGATGTTCCATAGAGTGGAATGCGTGGCAAAGTATGTGCGCTGGAACACCGTCTTCCTGTGCCGTTAATTAAAATGTTAATTTGAGTGACGCAGCAAAATCGTTTTGATGCGACATTGTCGCTAAGATTTCCCGCAACGATCCACTTCACGCCATGCATTAATAATTTTCTTATGAAATAAAAATATAATTGCACGTTTATTGGTTTTCAAATGAGCACTTGTTTCTTGTTATTTCTGTAGATTATCGACTTCTTGTATAACAAGAATAGTTTCCAAGAAGAAACTTCATTAAATGCGAGCTTAGCTTATTCTTGAATTAAATTATATATTTATGAAATACTAAATAAAAACTTTTATTTCTTCGATTTTTATTTATAAATTTTAATGTAACGTCTGCATTTATTTCTGATGTTTTAATTTTGATGTTTTAATTTTGATGTCAAAATTTTTATATCGCTTGCCTTTTACTTTTAAAAGCAATATCTTTTACTTGATTAATGATGTTGTAGTATTAAAATATGATTAACAGTAACAATTTGTTATTAATTTTTCTATTTTTGATAATACGTTTTATTACAAACAGATGTTTGTATTGCAAATTTTTTATTCATATAGATTCAGGATTCATTGCAACTATTCTATTATAAAGTGTATTTACCGCTTGGTCGAGCATTCTATTGGCAATGGAACCTAACAAATTGATGGGATATTCATGATTTAATTGGAAGTAGAGAGTACGCGCTTTAATAATCGAAATCACTAATCAGAATATTCTGATTTTGTATTGACATAAAACCGTTTGCTCAACGCATATTAATAGAACACTATCGACGAATTATGCGGAATGAAAGTTAAAATATATCGCGCAATGATCAAAATATATATATCTTTTTATATTTCCTTTTTTTTATAAAATTCTATTGAAAGAATGTGTTACATATTATTTGATTTAATTACCAATATTGAGTTACGGGTGTGAAAGAATTGGATTTATTCACAATGTATTATGGTACGGAGAATGCATGTAAAATGCATTGTGTATGATGTATTATGGTATATCCGTACATGTAGACCAAAAGATTTATTGTACACGTGTTTAATTAATTATTATATTCGACGTATTATAATATACGTTTTTTCGGTTAAATGCAAAACTGTGATAATTCGGCGAAATAATTTTTTAATATAATATGTCTCTAATATAAAAATAAATATGTTTATATGAGATGTTATTATTATGTTATAATTTTGTTCTATTAATTATTGAAAGCGTAGAAAAATATATTATTGGAGAATTACGAAGAGATTTAACTAATAAAATATGAGAGTAATTAAAATGAATGTATAAAACCAATATGCGTATTATTCTAATATTGACTTTAATCGGAGGTTTTTTGATGGATGAGAAAAGAATATTTCTCGTGGAAATAAAAGCGTATTGAAATTAGCTATTACACATTCAATGTTATTTTTACCTTCTAAAAATATCGGATGCTTTGTTATGCGCTACCTTTTACCTGTCTCGTCTCGCGTCACGCGTATGTATGTCTTTCACGGATATTTCGTTCATTGCTCGGGGGGGGGGAGGGGGGAAG